TTTTTCTTTCAATATTCATTTTTAATCTAATGTGAGACTTCTCATCAAATAAAACATATATCATTAAAAAAGTATAAATAAATAAGAAAATAAATCATAAAAATATAAAAAGAAGAATAAATCTTAAAAAATGAGCATTGTCTTAAAATATTTATCAGATTTTCCTAACTGCAACAACTATGAACTCATAATCAAAGTTGGAGGTCCACTTTACTTACTATCATTATACCTTTAATTAAATGGAATCTATAGATGTTACACATACCAAGGAAAAAATACTAATGATTCTATATGGTGTGCAAATTTTATGTATAGATAGAGCATACTGCTACATGCACTTTCTTTGATCTCCTTTTTTTCAAGCGATATCATTGGCAATTCATAAAGACAAATAGATGATTTTGTCAAGTACATATATATCATTCTAATAATGATAACTTTGTTAAGGAAACGATACTACTGCAGTGTTCTAATATTACACTCGAGTTTTTGGTGGAGTTTTTAGGATGGTTAATCGTGATTCAAAATTTTTGAACTACATATTTAATTCTGATGAGTTTCTCCAATACCTTATCCTCCTTTAGATCCCTTTCAGCATTATCATAATTACCTACTCAATAGTCACCATCATTCTCAGGTCAAATCCATTACTTTAGGCCATCATAACTTTCATAAATAACAACACAAGAAATATTTTGGCATATACCATCAGTCCCATCACCAATACCGATCCCATTGGAATTGAATAGTTGATTAGTCTTTTTCATACACAATATATATGATTTGCACCTCAAAATTTCTGTTCACCTTTCATATTGGCAAATTAAAAATGTAGCTAATTGACTCGAAATATATAATAGCTACTAGCTTCTAGCTAGGGTTACATTAATTTGGGGTATATATTTGATTTCACATCAAATGTTTGAAATCAATTTCATCATATCTAAAAAAAATGATTGGAATCATATTTGTAATATATTTGATTATTAATAAAATTGACTTTAAAATGGAAAATTTCATATATACTTTAAAATAATCATTAGTAATTTCCTTACCAAATAAAATTAATTTTAATTTTATCTACTCAGATTTATAATTACATATTAAAATTAATTTTAATAACAAATTTTTAAACAATATTTAATATGAAACTAAAATCTATAATTTTTTTGTTATCCAAATAAAAATCATGTTACTTTTATTAAAATCAACTTCACAAATTTACGTTAGTTTTAAATATATTATATTAATACATATCTAAACACACATGATTCCTCCAAATTGTACGTAATTATATAATTGAATCATATGATGAACTGAACTGGGAAAGATTAATGCTCGTACAAGTTAGTTTCAATCAAATTATGTGGACAGCATTTCATAGTGCAGTAGTTGAGTACACGGAACAATATAGTATCTTTATGAAAATCATAATTGTACCCTGTAAAATTGTTGGATCTTAAAAAAAAAAAAGGCCAAAAAAGTATTAATTTGAATGAATGAAATCAATGAATGTTTACTATAAAATTAGTAACAGATGTCATTTTGCTATTGAATTGGAGAATGATAGATTATTTACTTCCGAAGGTACAAGATTATTACTATGTTACCTTAATAGGTTGTTTACCAACCAATTAGTTTATACTTTTGAGTTTCTTTGTCTTTATCCAGACTTGAAATTGAAAGTTATGTACCTCTTAAGTCATTAACTGACTTAGTAAGGAGAGTAATAGATTATTTCAAGAGCAACAATTTTCGCTCGAATATAATATATGTTATAATATTTTATTGATTTTTAAAATTTAATTTTCATATATAATGTACATAGTTGAGGGATAAGGAAAAATCATTAAGATCTAAGCAATAATAATATCTTATCACGAGAAAATTAAGAACTTGTCATGATAAGTTATTAAAAAATAATATGTCATGAGTTATTAAAAAATAATATGCAGTTAGTTTAAAAAGGATAAATTCAATTTAAGTTTAAAGAAAAAAATTAGACAAGAGAAATATAGTAAATAATAGATAAATAAGTATTATTTTTATATTATCAATTAAAATAATAATTAATTAAAGTGTAAATTAATGCATGTACGGATGTCTATGTACATGCACATGCACATATATATATATATATATGAATAGTTGAATACATGTTGTTTAAGATTAATATTCAAAATTTAAAAATAATTTAATATATAATAAATGAAATAGGATATGATTTCATTATTTATTATCCAAAAACTAGTAAGAAAGTAAAATAATAATTATTAATTTACTAGACAAGGATCAAAGTATATGTTTTAGTTTCTTAGGTCACTAAAATAACTGATATCTAAATAAATTGGAAATAAGTTCACTCTTATATAT